CCCGGCATCGGCTTACGAATTGCAGTCACTTTGGCCAAAGATGAGAAGATGCGGTACAAGGGTAAAGGAGCTTTATTGTTGCACTTTTTTTCCCCCCACCCCCCAGTAATAAACAAGGTTTAGTCAGTGATGAAGCCCGTGTCGGTGTTGTGCACCCGGAAAAAACAAAAACAACCCTAGGCTGGCTGCGCCAAAAGCGTCCTTTACGCACAAAGTTCACTCGAGTTTTGTGCGCAACGCTGCGTTCTAAGCGCACGGACGTTTGTGTTAAAAAATGATTAATTCAGTGCATGATCCACTCACATCGTTCTATCAGACCGTACGGGAGACCCGGCCGGTCCCTCCCTCAAGTTAACAATTATTATTTGAAAGCACAGTTTCCAGTAGCTGGGCTCCGCGAGAGAAGGGGGAATGATGCCCCTGGCGCAGGCAGCCAAACAGGCGGGCTCATATAAAGAGAGAGGAGTCTTGTCAGTCTCTCTTTTAACTGACTTCTCCAAGCACAAAGAGAGCCCCCTTTTTTTTTATTGCGCTGAATTGTGGAGCGCCTGCTCCGGTTTAGTGCCGTGTCTAATGCGCCTTTAGTTCCCCAAGTGGAGCCACAGTTGAAAGGGGGCCAAAGTTTGAGACCTGTACAAGGAAGGGTTCACCCTGGAGAAGCAGGGCCGTGTGTACAGCCTTGATTGGTTCACCTAGTCGACGGGTTCTGGTGTTTTGACCGGATTTGATTGGTAGTTTTTAGACAATAACCGTAATTAATAAAACAGTACAGCAGCTCAAACTGCTGAGCCATTCGTGGCGCTTGTTTGGATATTTTTTAGTTAAGATAAGTTTTATCAAGTAATTTACCTGTCACTATGCTTACTTCAAGTTGTTTGACTTTAAATCTCTTTTTGGCCTAACTCCGTTTCTCGTTGTTCTAGTTTTGTTATTAAGTGCGGAATTCCCGCTAATAGAGGATAAACCTTTTAACCCCACTGTTTTTACATTCTAATTAAAGGCTTTATTTGGCTAACTTTATGTGATAACATTAACAAAACATTTACTTGTATTGTTGGCATTTTCATTGCTACGATTGGATTTTTAGCTAATGCTAACCAAAGTGACTTAAAATGGGACATGAACTCAAATGTATCTCAAAAAAAATTTTAAACTTTCCAATTCAAATACCTACGCCCAGATTAGCTTCAGATTAGCTTCACAGTGGCTTACCTAACACAGTGCTAAAGCAACAGGAGGTATGTTGTGCAAAGACTTGGTCACTAGGGGTTAGTAGCAGGCGCGTAACGATACACTCAGCTTAGATACGATACGAATCATGACTTTTTTTAAAAATTATTTTGTTCACAATATGATTTTGTCACGATTAAAAAAAGACGCTTTTAGCCAAAGCGACTTACAATTTCAAGTCAATCAACAATCAAGCTACAGTAAACATACAAAATACAAAAAAGTTAAAGTACAGTTATAGCCATAGTAGGTCATATAGTAAGAAGAATAGTATGTTATAAGAATGTCATAAGTATGTCATAAGAATAGTAGGTCATAGAGTAAGAACAGATGCATGTTAGATGTTAGTGAAGGCCTGGGCAAACTAAGGCCCGGGGGCCGGATGCGGCCCAGTCAGCTTTTTAATCCGGCCCGCCAAACTTCTCCAAATTATATAATTTATTTATATTATCATTATACTTCTGCCTTTTCCCTGCAATACCCACAATTCCCCAATAGATGGCATAGAAAATGCATTTTAGCATTTTAGCATTTTAGCCTTTGTGCATGACTTTTACGTGTCATTTATCTTAGTTCACATGACACTCTATCTATCTACTCCTGACCCGGCCTAAATTAATACAAAGTTAATTAGAGTAGTATTTAAAGTAGAACCGGTCTTGTCTTATTTACCTCGCGAACTGTCAATATATTAAACAACAAAAGAATATTAAAAAATATATTAACTAGAAACACTTGTCTGTGGAAGTCGTTCTTCCCACGTTCTGTTGGAACACCTGAAAGTCACTTAGACTAGTAGGAACCTGTCTTGGTTTAACAGCGGGTCACAACCAACATTTTTAGGCGCACACTGCTGCCTACTGTACTGGAGTGTGTAGTCTCAGAGTACGGCTGACTTTGAAAGTGCGCTTGAAAGTCTCCTCCTTACGCTTTGTGTCGCAATTTAAATATATGCGAATCGTCACGATTTTTCATAACGATCGTTACACCCTTATTCGGTAGTAGCGATCAGTGACAACACAGGGGCGACAGCTCCTGTTCAAACACTGAACTGACGGCGGCGTCATCCGCTCTGTTATTTAAACGTAGTCGTATGTAATATCCACAGAAACAGTAGAACCGCGAGCTACAAGCTCACGTTAAAACCATTTCTTTCCTTTTCCAAACCTGGTCAAAAAATAACACCTCGTGTGCTTCATGGATAGAACATGTTTGCTCAGCACACAGCAGTTATTTACCGTCTAAAGGTAAGGGCACAGAACACGGCAAAAATGACTTTTAGACAGGCGTGTAAAGCGACCAACCAATGCAGTGTTCTTAGTTTTGTTTTTTTAACCTTTTTCAGAAACTATATTAAATTTAATTTAAAAAAGTATAATTTAGCATAACACATAGCAACCAATTTACCAAGGGGTATCTCTGAGTTAGCTTCCTGCCTAGCTTTTGCTGTTTTACTTGAATTTTGCTTAAACCAGATCTGGGCAAACTAAGGCCCGGGGGCCAGATGCGGCCCATTCCGCTTTGTAATCCGGCCCGCCAAACTTGTCCAAAGTATTTAATTGGTTTGTATTGTGATTATACTTCTGCCCTTTACCACGCAATGCTCAAGTTTACCCTATAGATGGCGTAGAGAAGGCTAAAAGCATTTTAGCATTTTAGCTTTTATGCATGACTTTTACACGTCAGACCTTTGACTTGACTAAAGTATGAAATATTTTTCGAAATCTCTTTTGATATGTGCCTGTTTAATAACAAAAAAAGTAGCGTTGTACCTCAGTATTATAATTTTGTCTTCCTTTGTTTGCAGGTTTCTTTTGAAAAGACAATGTTTAGAGAGAGCACGGACAAAATAAGAAGTTAGGAGTTAAGCATTTCTTTTTGGCATAACAGCAAATGGTTAACTCGTTATTGCTGGCCACAAAAGCAGCTTTAGGTATATGCAGGCTTAGACACTCCACAGCCACAGTAGGATAAAAGCAAAGCACAGGCAGCCAACTGGTCCCTTTTCATTGCAGCCTGTGTTTCCATTTCGCAAAACCCGTCCCAAAAAAAAACATGGAAAATATGCAACTCACGTGGTCTAAACGTTGTCCGTGTGACCTTACCTAGTTACTTTTTAGACAAATATAATCAAATGCGTCGGGGCTTCCTCATAGGTCAAGTCTGTTGGGCAGAATCTGTCATTTACGAGTAACTGCCACACGGAAATAATTTAACATTTGTGGTTCACTAGTCAACTGCAGTTTTGTATAGGCAGTTTTAAATTCAGTGTAAGTTAGCAACTTAGCATTAAAGAGATAAACACACCTGCTAGAACAGCCAATAGGAGGCATTGTTTCGGTTTCTTAACCTGTGATTGGCTGAAGTTTGTTTGTTTGTTTGTTTTTTTGATGAGAAACTTGATTTTAAAACTACAGCCAAGGTTGATTCCCTCTCATTTTATAACTCCTAGAATTCTATTAAAGTCGAATGTAACACTTGATCACTAAGATGTAAGGGGGGGGTGAGAAAAAATTTATTCTCCGATATATTGCGATATTTTCCTGTACAATAGTGCACGCACACACACATATATATATATATATATATCTTTGTTTATTTATATATGTGTGTGTGTGTGTGGGTGTGAGTGTAGGGCAGGCATGGGCAAACTAAGGCCTGGGGACCGGATGCGGCCCGCTCAGCTTTTTAATCCGGCCCTCTAAACTTTTCAAAATTATATAATTTATTTACATTGTCATTATACTTCTGCCTTTTCCCTGCAATACCACATTTCCCCCAATAGATGGTGTAGAAAATGATAAAAGCATTTTAGCATTTTAGCCTCCATGCATGACTTTGTGCATTTACTGTATCTTAATTCACACCAACGCTCCCCAAAAAAAAGTCAAAAAGTTTGTCCAGGCCCGGTGTAG